GCTGAGGAATGGGATTTTGAGGTTGCAAGGTCACGCTAACCGTCAGTGCTGTGCTCATGCTGCGCCGGTTGAGGGAACATAGCAAGTCACATTGTCGATGACTTGCCAGCATGGCGTATAAACATTTAAGTCATGTCTAAGCTGTGCTGAAAAAATTGTTTCTGTCAGCTTGGCAGAAGACAAGCGGGATTTGTTTACAGCAATGATATCTTTCTCACGTCGTCCATTATAGTGCACGAGCCTGGTCTCACACCACCAAGGACCACCTGCATAACGAATGCGGATATATGACCGTTGACCAACATGGAACGGTCACGTTCATGACCGCTGGAAATAACGGTATGTTGCCATGTTATGACATATCGAGAAACACATTAAAGCCAGGCTGATTTTCAGGCTTTTCGACTTATGAAGAAGGAACGGTTGTGAATAAGAAGCTCAGCCTAAGACTGAAGCAGATCGGTCGCATTTCTTTCACCAGGGATTTGCCTGTCGAGGATGTAAGTTCAAGCAGCAAGGCTTAATCACAGATTACTGGCTGCCTTTAGCTGGAAAGGAACTTCACTTTGGTGAACCCAAAACGACTAGAGCAGAGTCAGCGAATGCGGACCGCAACCCACCCGAAGGTCGGACTGTTGGATCACGTCATTGTCGTGTACGAAAAACAGAAGTGAACAAATCCATCGGTGGCTGTCTCGGTTCCCAGTTTTCGACGCTCTCCATCTTTCAATAAATTTCACGTGTCCCCTTCCAAGGTGACACGTCGAAGTAGATATAATTGCAAATAAATGTCTAGCAATTTTTAGTTTTTTGCTACAATGTAGCATTGTGCTGGAAAATATTTCATACCGTTGACGTGTCCTCGTTTCTCGGTATACGGTAACGCCATTTTTACCGCAGTTTTGCCTCCAGCACCGATCAGTTGAGGCTTTCAAGTTAAATGCAAATAAACGGAGTGCCTCAAAATCCGGTCGATGAGTAGGATATGCACCTAGGGAAAAGTTCTTTCAACTTCGTTTTCTATCATTTAACATCCCGTCAGCAAATTCTGTGAAAAACGCCAGATTTCGCCTTGACTGCAATATAAATAGAGTTCGAAAAGCACCGACCGAGGATGAAAACTGAATGTCCGTTTATCTTTCGTCTGTTTTTAAGGCTGAATTTTGGGAAAATTCCAGACTTTCTTTACCTGAAAATCAGAACAAGGACGAAAGAGTTTTTGCCACCTATGGCGAATGCGGCACTCGGCTACGCGGAGTCATGAAGCTGGTTTGTTTTGTCCCGGTGAACATGAAAACGGTTAATTTTGCTCAGCCAAAAATTCGGTCTGAGCCAAATCATCGCAGCAGTCGTCGATATTTACCGCCCGTTCTTCGTTATCCTCATAATCATAATTACCGTGCTCAAACAAGATGCTTCGTACATATGTGCCATAGCCGAGGAAAACAGTGATCAAAACTGATTGCGAATATTTTCAGCATGCCGCTGTAAGGCACCTGTGGTGATAGCCGGCATGACTAAACGGGACTGCAGATTGTACTGATGGTAGAGGGTACTTCTGTGATGTCCAGTTAAAGCGAATTAATACCGTTTAATGATTATA